TTCTTTCTTATATTTTTTTCTTTTTTATGAACACTATCGTTGGAGTTTAAAAATTCAGTTACATGGTTTATTTTTTGTAGTCTTTCTCAAGTAGGAGTAAGTGTTGTAACGTAATAAATACCCTGACATCAACATGCCCCGTAAAAAAAAAGTAGCTTATGCAGAGTGTCTAAGGATGCTAAAAGAATGAAGGTTTGTAGGTCTGCAAAAGATTATGAAGGCTCTGAATCGGTTGAGGGTGTGAGGCCGGGCCCCTCAAGCAATACCTGAGGAAATGAGGCATCCACCAGCTCCACTTCATTAGAAACATACTTTGTTGGTCAGGAACAACCTTCCACCAGTCGGGAGCGTGTGGTCCGCTTCAAAGCCCAGCAGTCTGAAGTCGAAAGAGAAAAACGTTTGGCCCGTGACAGAGAGTGGCACAGTCCAAGAAGGGAAAATGAAACAGTAGAGGAGAGGGAAGCTCAGCAGGAAGAAGATAGAGTTCGGCACAGTCAAAGAAGAGAAAATGAAACAGTAGAGGAGAGGGAAGCTCGGCAGGAAGAAGATAGAGTTCGGCACAGTCAAAGAAGGGAAAATGAAACAGTAGAGGAGAGGGAAGCTCGGCAGGAAGAAGATAGAGTTCAGCACAGTCAAAGAAGGGAAAATGAAACAGTAGAGAAGAGGGAAGCTCGGCAGGAAGAAGATAGAGTTCAGCACAGTCAAAGAAGGGAAAATGAAACAATAGAGGAGAGGGAAGCTCGCCACGTGATTGACAACGAAAGGTACCATCCCATTGTTCAACAACACAATCTGAGCTTGGGAGGGGAGGTAGTGCGAGTGGAGGTCTATAGAGCTCGCCAAGGTCAGGATGAGAGAAATTCCCACATGGCTGCTGACACCCAAAGACACCATGTACCAGGCAACTCGAGACCGACCAAGAGAGACGCGACAGAATCGCAGGAGAGAGGACACGGCATGTACAAAGAAACATGATACAATGGCTTAACAAAAACAACAGTGGGTTTCAGTATGATCCCCTAATAAACTATGCCGAAGCTGCCAACATCGGAGCCTTAGACAAGGTGTGTAGGCACAGTCATGCTCTCACATGGGCAAAAGAACCATCTGGCATTTGCTGTGCTTCTGGCAAAGTAGCTCTTCCCCCATTGTGGAGGCACCAGAACCTCTTCGGTTGTGGGTGTCAGATGACTCACCTCAGTCTTGCAGTTTCCTACAGAATATCAGAGCATACAACAGTGCCTTTCAAATGACTTCGTTTGGAGGCAATGAGATCCGTGAAGGATTATATATGCCCACGTTTAAGGTTCAAGGCCAAGTGTACCATCTGATCGGCTCTCTTTTGCCAACCCCCTGGACAACCTGCATCTTTCCTTCAAATATACTTTGTTGGTGATAGTCAGGCTCAGCTTGTGAGGAGGTTGAACTTATTTCAAAACCTGGACGCCAACATGGTAGCCACTCTGCAGACCATGCTTCAAGACAATAACGCCTACATACAGAGCTTCAAAACCACCATGGAGACCTTGCCTCCAGAGTTGCTTGACTTTCAAACTGTTATCAGGGCTAATAGGCGTTCTGCAGGAGAACACCCGGGTAGATACAATGAACCCATGGTTAACAAAGTTGCGGTGTTGATGGTTGGAGAACCCAGTGACTGGCGAGACATCGTTTTAAATTCCAGGGAAGATGGTTTGAAGCGGATCTACGAGGGTCACCCTTCATATGATGCCCTTCAGTACCCCCTCGTGTTCTGTAGAGGCGAGGATGGATATCATTTTAACTTAAACCACGTAAACCCGACCACTGCCCAGCCAACCAATAAAAAGACCAGCTCCCGAGAGTTTTATGCGTACCGGATTATAGTCAGAGAGGGCGACGCCAACCATATCCATCAGTTCAAACAGCTTTTGAACCAATTTCTGGTGGATATGTATGCGAAGGTGGAGAGTGAAAGTCTGCTGTACTTCCAGACACATCAAAAGGAACTGAGGGTGGAGAATTATGTACACCTTCAAGACGCTCTAAGATGAGAAGACAGTGTAGCGCAACTGGGACAGAAGATTATTTTACCTTCCACCTTTACTGGGGGACCTAGATACATGCATTCACACACCCAGGATGCTTTCTGCTATGTCCGGAAGTTCGGCCGACCTGACCTCTTCATCACAATTACAACAAACCCCAAGTGGCTAGAAATCACAACTGTAATTGGAGAATGGCAGTCTGCTGAGTACCACCATGACGTTATGTCACGTGTTTTTCAACTCAAGCTAAAGTGTCTCATGGCTGTTCTCACCAAAGGCCAGATTTATGGTGCAGTATGCTGCTTCATGTACTCGGTCGAATGGCAGAAGCGCGACCTTCCTCGTGCACAT